TAACTGCAGCAGTTCCCCTGTGCCCTCAGCTAACCTGCGGCAAGCCTTGCAGTACATTTCCCCAGGTGTGTCTTTTTTTTTTTTTTTTTTTAAATCAACAAGTTTCTTTGTAAACTGGAGTGTGCACACATGACATTCACATACCTTTTTTATTTGTTGCCTCAGCTGAAATCAGTGATATTTAAAAATGCAGAGAGCATCCTTTCAGAAAACCTGTGACAGTTACCAAAAAGAGTAAAAATACAAGATGGAGTCCTGAGAGATAAAAATTTATTTATATCTGATCAGCATGTCATGATATGGTCACAACTCATACAGCTGACATTCCCATAGCCAAAAGAGGGAATTTTTTTTTCTTTTTAAAAATACAATTTTCTTTCCAGCAGGAAGGATTTTTTAAACCAAACATTTCATACTAGGCAGGAATTAAAAACAATGGCTTTTTCAGTATGACAACAAGGCTGGTAAGCACTGGATCCCCCACCAGTGCCTAATATTCAGATTTCAAGTTTTCCCTCCCACTGTCTCCCCCCGCCCTGGACTCCCCCCCCCCCCCAAACACCACACAGGAAAACAAGACAAAACCCAGAAGGGAAACAAAGAGGTAGACGTAACTACAACCATGGCACTGTTCTGGAAATTGTGCAAGATGTCTTACTATGCTCCAAGGAGTTCCTTTTTGCTTCGTTGTATGTTGCAGTATTATGCACCAGCAGTTAACACGGAAGGCGACACAGAGCTACGAGCTATCGTTAGCGAGAGATGCCAGGGCCACAGAATGAAGGGCGCTGTTCCACTCGGTATTGCTTTGCCTAGCTGAAGTTGTTTAGACTTCTCCGTTAAAAAAAAAAAACACGTATCTACAAATGATTACAGCCTTGCTCATGAAAAGGTTGGATTCACATCTTTCTAGGACAGTGGCAACCCAGGGTCGACAGGGGCCCAGGTTCTGCTCTCAGTGCACCCTCAACTCTCAGAAACTTCCAGGGGAATCATTGCTACGCAGCGACCCGCGGAGAAACTCTGCAGCTTGAGCGCCAGCAAAGTTTCCAGCGGGTGCTGGAGCGAGCGAGGGCCACAGAAGCTGCTTTCCCCCCTCCTCCCTACTGCTCCACTCCTCCTCCCCTTACCACTTCTGGCATAGAAGCATTTGTCTCTGTGTCCTTCCTGATGAGAGCTCTAAAAAGCCACGTTATCCACCACAAATTAACACCGCAGCTGTATAGCGAACCAAAGTGTTATTTTGCTGTTTGTTGTGTTTATGGAAAGCACAACAGAGGCTGTGTAACTACCGGATGTAAGCACAATAAATGCAACCAAAGAGAATCATCTCATCTATTAAAAATTAGAAGCACATGAAATAATCTTGGAAAAGAAATCAACTTTATTTTTGCCACACAAAAAGAATAATGGGAAAAGACACCTATAATAATCTCTGTAGAGAAATGCTGCTTCTGGTACCTGTCTACATTTCTGAAAGACATCTTGGCTGCTGGAAAGATTTGATAAAAAATCCAATGAAATAAACTCAATAAAATAATGCCAAACACAACCAGCCCTTTGCAAAATCATTGAGAGTCACTACAGGCTTCTGCATCCATTTTATCATACAGAACAGAAATGCAGGTAACACAGGAGGGAAGGAGAAAATTGGAGGTGAAAATAACTGGTATCAAGAAAACTAATTTTATCATGCAAAATGAAGACCATTGTAGAGTAATTTTAAGGAACTAACTCACTTTAATAGGACAGTTGTTCAGTGTATAATTACTTCATTATCCAATGATAAAATAGAAGGTTTAAGTTTTAAAATGCATAGAATCCTTTTAAAGACTTCTTTTGTATCACAGCCAGGTAGTCTACAGTTTTTACAGAAGAAATAAAGCTGCTCAGAAATGTTCATAATGTATGCAGACATTTTAAACCAGAGTATGGTTTCAATTTTGCTCTTCCAATTGTTCTTTTTTTTAAAAAAAAAAGTGTAAAAATTATCAAATATGCAATTTTGCAAAATAACCCTTTATTTCATATGGCTCCATTATTTCCAAACAATACAGTACCCCAGATGTATAATTATTTTGTGTGATTGTATCAGATCACCACAAAATCTCCAGCTGACTATCAAGACACACCCAACCCTGGTCTCATGATTTGGAAATCCCAGTTTTAAGTACCTTTGGTCCCAAAATTTTATGTCAAGGCAAAATGGAGCAGTTGAATCCTGTCACACACAGTGATCGGTATCCGTATTATCTTGTAGAAACAGGTGAAAAAAGTTAACAGCACTTTATGGCAGTGTCAGACAGAAAAAAACCAGTTACATCATCATTTGCAAAACAAGTGAATAATGAACAGTACCACAGTGTTCGTTGTATTTTTACTGCAATAAGATGCATCTTATTTTTGATGCTGGAGGCGGAGGAGGGAGAAGGAAGCTTTTAATTTTCCAGTGAGCACGGTAAACTGACATCTTGCTTTTCGAAATCTGATGAGCGCAACTTAAAAAAAAAAAAAAAAGATTCCCTCCCGCAAGCGACATCATTGTTGAAAAGCTTGATAGAACCATACATAAAATACTAGAGAACCCGTAAGGAAGGCGCACTCACCAAAGGGCACTGAAGAAAAACCACTGCTCGTTGTGAACGGGCAGATACTCTTCACGTAATGGGATTTGAAGAGCAGCAACGCTAAACCATTGGGACTTATATCATTTCAACTGTAACAACTTATGAACAACTAAACGGAGAAATGAACAGATGTTTTGTGTGCAACCCTGGGAGAGAACCATCTTTATTTGCAATACACTTAAATTGCTACGTTCTCACTTCTGTGTGCAACAGCTTTCAGTTAGCGTTTTTTCTGTCATTTTTTCATTCTGTATCACTTTATACATTCTTCCATTATATTTCTCCTAATATAAATGCAAAGTTATATTAATTAACCATTTTGGGATCAACTGTATGGTTCATTAACATCATTTTCTTTCAATGGCATTTTGAGGAAGCCCATGGATGGCGCGGCACCGCCAACTGCCACACGGTAGAACCGAGCTGCAACCCACAGGAACTGACGCTTTACAAACCAGCCTGCTAAGCTCCAAACAGTCTTGACCAGCACGGTGTTTTTAGCACAGAATTTCCTGTATGTTGTATACTTTTTACGTTTTCCCCTTAATAGAAAAACTTCTTTTATCCAGTTTATTCTCTTTCATGAAGCAGCATCCAAGTTCACGCTGGGAGGGTACTTCCGAGTTTCTTAACAACGGTTTCATTCCACCGTCACCTACAGCAACTCAGCCGTAAGGAGACACAACATCAGGTGCTCTTCCCATTTTCCAGTGCAGGCAGGCAAGAAGCCCAAGACCTAATACTATTTACTCACCCTACCAAAACAACCATCAGTGCTTGAAAATAAATGTCTCGAAATAGTAAGAACTACAGAGGAACAAACTGAAAATGAACAGGACCAGATAAATCAAATGATTACCTGAAACATTACTGCACACTACTAATTTCTTTAGGCAGCATGTGAACACTCACTATTGACTGCAATCCACTGGAAAAAAACAAAATACTGCAATTGAAAAAACAGTATGCTCTGACACAGAGTTCACGGGGTCTATAAAGAACAACCTCCTGATGCGAGTTACCGCTGTGCAATCTGCTTATATAAACTTCCCTTTTTATGTCACTCCAGTCTGCCCTAGCTCAAAATAACCCCAGCTGTACTGTGGGCACCTCTGTGGTTCTCATCAAACCACCTGGTGGAGGACAGAAATGAGTAGCGTGCCATCTGCATTTTGCAGTTTTGAGAGCCTGCTTACGCCCACGTGCAGACGACATAACCACTTACCCGGTAACGGCACGGGGCTGCCCCAACACCCTCCTGTAAAATGGCAGATTAAATACATTCATTCCATCAGCTGTACTTCAGCAAGAACAACAGGAAAAAAACCCAAATACTCCCAAGACCACCTCCCTTTCAGGGCACACCTCTTTTTAAATGGATTTCACGTCACACCAGAACTCAGGTGTGTGACTGCATGTAAAGAGATGGGAGCTAGAAACAGGACCTTACCTAAAACATTAAGCTGTAGGCAACCACCGTCCTTTGCCTCCCAGCTGCAGTGGTTCTTTTAAGTCAATGAGGGGACTCATAGTGCAGGGGAACTTACTATAGTGTATCATTGGGCAACCATCCCACTGAGCTACCTCAGGATAAAACTACTGCTTTTGGGGGGATAGGGCTGGCGTATTTGACTAGGTATTTTTCCATTAAGTCAGGGAAGCTGGCATTGCCTGGTATTTTGGTATGCTCTCAGCTCCCCCCGTAAAGGAAACACTGGCTAGGTTTTGTATTCCGCACGCCACCCACTGTGATCCATGTAGCAGGAGCGGGCGAGAGAAGGGGGATCAATATTGCTAACTCGGAGCCAAAACTACTGAGGGCTTACTTTGCTCTCAGTAAAATTACTCTGTAAAAAGGCAGTATGCCAACATCTGAAGTTCTGGCTATCCTGCTTGTATTTAGAGAGATTAGTTTTATTTTAGGAACAGCTCTCTCAAATCTGCGTATAATCACATAAACACGATGCCAACTAGACCTGCCAGAAGTAAGACCGTACATCATAGACATCCTTTCAAAAGTATCCTCTGTTTCACATCTGAAAGTGTCTTCTGTTCCGGTTTGCCTTTTAATTCAACTCATCCTTCTTCCAGTAAGATTTTAGCACAGTGGTGACCTAATTAATACTGCCCTCCATGTAGTTATTCAGAGTACACCATACTTTTTTTTTTTTTTTTGCAGTAGTACCTTCCTGTAGATTTATGACAGCAATTATACCTATTTTTTCTTTTTAAGAAACTAGTTTTTCTTCTATTACTCCTTAGCAAAACATTAAGATGGTTGGCATTGAATTATTTAAACTCTCCCACAAGTATATTTAGCGCTGTTGCAACTAGCAGGGAGAAAAAGGCCTCTATAAACCACTCAAAGGTCACCTTGGTTGCACTGCAGTATACAAAATACAAAGGTGGCTAAAAATCACCAGCAGCACCAGCAGACCTTCAGAAACAGCTAGAATTGCTCTGGCTTCCAGTGCGTGACAAATAAAGCTTTTCCCTATTCCCTAAGTTTTATGTCTTTCCTTCACTGTATTTTCACCTTTAAAAGTGCATTTTGAAAACCAATAATGACCGTTGAGGTGCATTCTGAACAAAAAGGGAAAATAAACCAAGTGACTTTATGTTTTCCAAGTTTCCTCATAATACAAGATACTGGCAGCACATGGAATTTGGAGAGCCGATGGTAAGACCACAGCAGGGGTGGGCTGATTCATCAAATGTGGACAGCTTTTTCATCACACTGTGATGCTGCAATGCTTTTTTGAGGACCGAGTCCTCACAAAACACACCTGACGCTGGATCTTATTTGGGTTTTGGTTTTAGATCAATGTGTCTAATACAACAGCTGCTGACTGCGTAGCTGCAAAGATACAGCCACCAGCTCTGTTGGGTATCTTTGACTCCAGCACAATGAGTTGCCATGAAGTACACATTTGTGCAAATGAGGAATCTCTACCACACCAATGCTGTACAGACTACTGAAGAGACAAGTTGCTGAATTTTCTGAGCTCTAACTACAATGCCGAGAAATACTTGCGGTGACAGAGCTTTCTTGTCACAGACATTCTTCTACAGTGGTTGTACGATTGCACCTTTTGTCCAAATGCTGAATTTGCGTAAGTGTGGGTGAGAGTATACATTTTTAAAAATACAGACAATTCTTAAAGTAATACATCATCAGGTCACTAGGTTACCGATCTTCACTTTGGAGTTTAAAATTTCCCCAAAGAAAGGTAAGAGTCCGTCCAGTATTTTCCTTTACTCTTGAATATTCACATTTGCACATACAACATCATATTCATTTGCAAGAGCCTGGATTCCCACTGTGTCCTCAGGTCCACTTCTAAAATAGGCAATGATAAAAATACTGAAAGATGCAGTACCACATACCGCCTGACAAAAACGCAAGTGATTGTATGCCGACTAGCCACAGGTTACTGAGGGTCATCTCCCGAGAAATAGCTTTTGTTTGACCCTGCAGTGGAGGAAAAGCTCCTAAAAGGGAAAAGAAAACATATTTAATGCTTCTGCAGCAGGAACGATAGCCTTAATGCACAATTCTTTACCATTGCAGTTTGTCCCAGCAACAGTACCCACAAACAATTAATTGGTTACTTCTGTATTATGCTGTTAAACTTCCAAACGATTCTCCGGCATTATCAGTTATCTTCAAGAAAATTTAAAAAAAAACCAAAACCAAACCCTTATCATAATTATTAAGAACCATTTTCATTTCATTCAGATACAAACTTTAAGCATAAACCTTAAAGCATTCCTTAAAAGCAGCCATGCTCATTGTATTCAACCCTCGCAGGGAGATCTGACTGTCAGCTAAGTTTTCTGTGTTATTTTTTAAGTTTTTTTAACATCTGTATGATCAAACTGCATGGATTCCACACTGAACTTTACAGTGGCTTGGTAATGAATTTGTATACTGCGAAGAAACCACACACATACACATTCTCAAGGTTCCTCTAGAAAATACATATGCACACACACTTTTTTTTTTTTAAATTTAAAACAACAGTTTCCACATGTTGTTTGCACATTCACTGGCCAGTCAGTCACACAGTCTAAGGAAGCACTGTAATTTACCACGCAGTTTTCCGGAAAGATTTTACTGAAACGCCTGTTTAGATGAGAAAGACTGGCAGGAGATACAGCTGACAGAGTTAAAAAATTCATTTTTCCCTATTTTGACTTTTTCTGACTTACAATACTAAATTAAATGTATCTGAATATGATCATAAGCAAATTGTTTGCATATATTTACACCAGCATATTAAATAACTTGCATTGCATTTTACCGAGATGCACAAAGGCTAGATGATATGAACCCCTTTTGTTGTTAATCCTGAAGCGTGGATATAAAAACTCTAAATATACCAGAGAAGATGATGTACTTCCTGCAGATTATGGAGTCACAGCTACTCATAGAAGAACAAGAGATGAATGATTCAAAGAGTAAAGGTATAGCAGTGTCTATTTTTAATCTTAGAAACCATACAATTTGGGCAATTAGATACCATCAGCAACTTATCGCTATGCTTCACATTTGCAGTCACTGGAGGAATTGCAATCAAGCATTTAAGACAAAGCTCTTCTTCCTGTAGGAACACTCTTAAGTTTAAAAAAACCTAAAAAACCAAACCAAACGAAACAAAAAAACCCTCAAACCACTAAAAATACCCCTTGGTGAATCCCATCCTCCTCTCACCGATACGTATTTTCACACACAGGCAGATTTGCCGCACCATTTATTCCCCAGTAAGTCTCACTCCTAAGGATGTACTTCTCCACTCTACACTACATTTGTTCTTCCACAGCCCATTTGTTTTCCTGTGCCAACACTGAACTTTGGTTTAAATAACTTTCCTTGTCCCTTGGCACTGGCAGCAGCTGTCTCTTCCCCTTCCTCCTCTCCCAAGCCAACTTGTATCTTGCAGAGAAATGATCCTTCACTTCCCTAGCTGAGCCAAGCCAAGCCCTTTCAGTTGTCCTTCACAGAAATGGCTCCTCCTTCCCCTAAATCATCTTGGCACCTATTATCTGTCCCTCCTCCCGGTTCAATTCATATTTCTTGAACGGGGATGACGGACCTGTACACAGAATTTCCAGAAGAGGTTTCAGATTTGGTACAATGAAGACCATTTCCATAGCACTGGTGAAAACCCTCTCCTGTTGCCCTGTAGGATGACATTGCTTACTGGTTTAGTTACATCACACCAGTTGGCTTATGATCAGAGTGAATGAGGAGCATGATGACTTCAGTATACAATTACTCATTTCCAACTGATAAGCTCCTAGCCTATAGGGCTTTTTTTTTAATTAGTCTCCAAGTGCTTTTGTCCCGCTAAATGTAATCTCAT